TTCAAACCTTGCAATTTGTCTAAGATTTTATCTGTATTAATTTTTTGCCCTGTTCATCTTTTTACTCCAAGTGTACACCTAATAAGCGAAGAACTAGAATTTTTTTTCCTTATCCAATATTTTATACTTTGAACTCTATATAAATGTAAATTATATTTAAGTTATTGCCCTTCCTGATAGATCCAGAAGTTTTTCAATACTTGTTCTTAATTGAATAATGTTGCTATAGTTTGTTCTGTCTCAACTTGCCTTACATGGTTTTCTTATCCTTCAGCTTGCAAAGAAAGGAGAGAAATTTATTGACATTCCTTATGTTGTGAAAGGGATGGATGTATCTTTTAGTGGAATATTGAGCTATATTGAAGCAACTGCTGTTGAAAAGCTAAAGAATAATGAGTGCACACCTGCAGAATTATGCTACTCTTTGCAGGTAAATGTTGTGCTAGCCTGCACAAAGAAAATTGTGGGACGACGAGGATCGAATGCAGGACATGAGGCTTTAATATCATGTAAAGGATCAATTTAACCCAAAAAATTAAGTTATTAGGTGAGAGTCTTTTTAATGATTTATATTATTTTCTAACAGTATTGCATTGATAGCAGTGCAATGATAGCATACACTGGTCTCCTTGAATTTGCTCATGGTACATCAACTCGTTAGAGGTCAAGAATCTACATTCACCCAACGGTTCGGGACAGATGAAGTTAATGCACTGGAGAGAAGCAGATTTGGCAAAATTGAATGGTCTTGCACAGAAAAACCTTTTGACTTTTCGGGGTACAAAAGAACTTTTGACTAAATGATATTGCAAATCAGCGTCCTACAAAGTGAAAACAGGATATATCCTCAAGGACCTTGAAGATTATTAACATATAGCATGTTAAATTTATGTGCAAAAATACCATTCAATTTGTTTAGTTATTCCATGGTGAAATAATGTAATCCGTGCCAAGATATATCAGGGTCCTTCATTGGCTTTCTACCAAGGTCCTATAGGAAGGTTTTCCAGTGCCTTCTTGGCATGAGTGACGTTCCAGGCTTACAGCACCATTCTCTCTCAATCTCTCTCTTAGGAGAACGTCTTTGATCCTACCGTCGCACTAAGTACTCGGTACTAGTGTTGTTAAACCCGACCCGGGCATCGACCCGGTTGGGGTACTGGATCATTGGGTCACTGGTCGGACCGGTGGGTCACTGGGTCACTGGTCGGACCGGTTGACCCGGATATATATAGATATATAAAAATATATATAAATATGAACATATAAATTCAATTATATCTTCCATATCTAAAATAAATTAAACAAGGTTCACTAAATAAGTTAAAAAAATAAGCATAAATAAATAAAAGTGCATGCTATTACTATGTCAATTTAAATGGCAACTCAGAATTCCCATAAACATACCTCTCAATGACATTGAACTCATATTTTTCAAATTCAATTACATTAAAATGACATATGTTACATTCTCTAATTTATTATTCCACAAATTGCTTTAGTATCGGAAACTAAGAGGTTATTGTAGAAGAGTATACTAGTAAATAAAATTATAAAAAGTTGTTAAAATGAGTTTTACATTTTTTTTATAAGATGAAATAATTTTGATTTTTTTTTTTTTAAATGCATGACCCGACCGGGTCACCGGGTCGACGGGTCACCGGGTTTGGCCGGGTTTGTCCGGGGTTTGACCGGGTCGATGCATGACCGGTCCAATGCTTAACCCAAACTGGTCTGATAACCGGTTCACCGGGTTCCGAGTCAACCCGGCCGGGTCGGGCCGGGTTTGACAACAGTCCTCGGTACGACTCTCATTTAAAATAAAATTACAAATTATATATTTTAGAAAATACATAGTTATAATATTAAAGTTTTTTTTTTCTTTCTTCAGGAAACATGTTAGCTAATGTGTTATGTTGCTATTGATAGGATGTACATACGACCGGTAGTATTGTAGATTTTTTCCTCTCTTTTATATACAAACTTGACTATAGTATACTTGTGTAACATTCCATTCTCTTTCTCTAGGATATACAAAATTGACTAGGAAGACTTTTTCTTCCTCCAGGAGCATCTCAGCCGTTAGATAAAAGGGTGACAAGGGGAGAAAAAAAGAATGAGAGCAAGATTAATGGTTAAGATTTCTGCTGCTTCAGAAGGATATAAGAATTTTTGCTTGATTAGAGTTTATCCATGTGACATTTGGGCACTTGGGTAGTCAGAGTCTTTCGTCATGTATTGAGCCTGCCGTTCAAGTTTATACAAGCATTACTCTATTGATGACAAGCTCTGAGAAATTACGAAGTATGGCATGATGTTCCATTCCTTTTCAGTATGTCAAGCATATTCAAATACATGTAGTCATTGCACAAAGAATAGGGGAAGCTCCATGGATGGTTTTTAACTGTAGTCATAGGCATTTCTAGAAAGTAGCATTTGAATAGATTATTGGTCCAGGCTAATGCTTCTGAAAATATTGATAACTGCTTTTGGCTGTAATTGATAGATTTTTAAAATGAGTAAGGAAGATGCAGGATATGGAAAATGGTAATGTGTATTCAAAAAAAAGAAAAAAGAAAATGGTAAATGCATTTACACCCGTATACAATCATTACCTACGTTGGATGTGTAAAGAAGCATTTTGTTTATGTCAGTTTAAAGCAATGTTGTTTTCGGACCACAGTGAATTTAAGAAGGATAGCTGCTACAAAAGTGGTCCAATAACGATAATTGTGGTCCTCTCATGATTTTTTTTTTTTTTTTGGTTTCGCAATATATCCTCCGGCCGACAGTTTAAGACTAATTTTTTCGAAGCGAGAGATCACATTAAGTGGATAAATCTCTTATAACAAAGTCTTCTCCATATACACAGCCAGAGATTAAATCCCTATCAATATATTAAAGTAACCCAATTATCTATCAAGTGTGTTGCGCTTTACTACTGTCCACTCATGAAATTACCTTGGAAGGATTAGTTTGGGAATGCAGTAGACAAATAGATACACTGGATATAGGGTTAGTGACAATGATGCTATTGAATTAACCATCTGTCATGGCTAGCAACTAAGCATATATTGCCACTAATGTTGATTGGAAAAACAGAAAAGGGGTAAGTTTGTACAAGGTCTACCCACAAGGGGACAAAACCCCTCTATGAATAGTAGTACTCTTGTGCATGGGCTTTTCACAATCAAAATAATAAACTTCATAACTCAAAGGCAATTGTGAAGGAAATAAATTGCATGGCATGACATTAAGGGAAGGAGGACCACAAGTTCCCTTTGGTTCATGTCTTTATGAGTATCATAATGCACCATCTGTAAAGTTGTGGACCATGTGTGCCTAGCTTTAACCCAAAATCAGTGCACTGACCAAGACAAATACAACATGAATCCAAAGACTAAACCATCCCATAACTCCAAAAGCCGCATGCTAAAAGTTTCAATATTCCCTAAGTCAGACAATTTTAGTCATAATTGCATGCATTGCCTAGTCTTGAACAAATTCAAGACCCCAATGATCTTACAGATTCCATAGTAGCTTAGGTTAGCCTAGCATAGCATGAAAGAAAGCAAAATGACAAATTCAAAATTGCATCACGTAACTTTTGGCTTTCTTTCCCATTCTCTTTCCAACCCTTGTTGGCCTCGTGCCATCATCTGTTTGTCTGGTAACCCTGGTAACCGTTAGAAGTTAAGGAAGGACGAACACTGAAGAAAAAAGTGACTATTCATATAAAATCATAAACAAGGATTTCACCCATCATTAGTGGTGACTGAAATGTGAATCCATTTGACTTTTATTAGTATCCTAAGATATATATAAGTTCGACTTATAATTTTACATTTTATTTTAATTACTAATCTATTTACATCTAACAATTCATATATTTAATAATTAAAATAATTAAATATAAATAAAATGAACAGAATGTAATTTATATTAGCATAAAATAAGGGAAAATCATTTGTCATAAAGACACAACTTTGTGTCATTTTTAATGAAATTATGTCGTTTTGATGTGTATTTGATAATTTTTTATATTCTTCCGTTTTCATAAAATTAGGAAGAGAGAGAAAGTGGAAGAGAGAGAATATGAAATGACATAAAGTTGTGTCATTTGAAATGATAAATATCTTTTTCATAAAATAATATGTTGTTATGTATACAGAGTAGATTATTTTTATATTGATATAAGAATAAGAAATCTTACACCAAATCTTGATAATTGATTTGCTTGCATCTAAATGCTTAAATATCTAATAAATCAGAATTATTAGATATAAATATAATCAATTATCAAAATTGAAAGTGTAACTTACATCAGTGTAAAATAATCCTGAACACACATATATATAAATCTTACATTTAATCTTAGTCATTGATTTTCGTACATCAAACGATCGTGATTAATTGGATTATTCTTATCATTTAATTATTAATTTTCAATAAATTATAATGTCAGATATCAAAAATCAACGGTTAAGATTAAGTGTAAAATTTATTATTTTTACATCGATATAAGAAGATCTTGCCATATATATATATATATATAGGATCAGAATCATTTTACACTGGTAACCGTTGATTTTCATACATCCAACAATTATAATTACATTAAAAATACCAACTGATGATTTCCGTCCATCAACGATTGAGGTGTGGTGTAAGATTTGTTAGTTTGACACCGGTGTCAAATTTGAAGTTTGACACCTCTTTTAAGAACCGTTAGATCAAAAAAGATCAATGGTGTCACATGCTTACAAATCAGAGTCGTTGATTTTTTTTATCTTGCGGCTCTTAGGTGACGTGTCAAAGAATCTTGCCTTTTATATATATATATATATATATATATATATTAAAGTAAACAAAACAAAGGCATAAATTGAGAGGAGACAAAAGTAACCAATATTAGGAATTTAGGATGCTGGGGACAAGCATTCAATAAAAGTGGACCCAACTATGAAGGAACTGCTTAGGTGGCTAAAACTTTGGGAACACTGAACTGAGGTAACTTGTTCGTGGTACCTGCAGAGAAGATACAGGTAACTTCAATCAAATTGTTAAAACTTAAAGCATTAAGGAGGGAGGGAGAGAGAGAGAGAGAGGAATTTGAACATTTGAGTTGTAAGAGTGAGAGTGATGGAAAGAACAGAAAAAGGTTGGGAGAGAGAGGACAAAAGGGAAGGATTAATGGTGGAAAAACTGAAGGAAGGGGTTTTGGTGGGGAAAAGAGGAGGCCCTTCTACACCACCACCCACATGGAGACTTGAGCTTCCATCTCAACAAAATGGTGGTAGTGACAACAAAAACCCGGTTCAAGAATTCCTCAACTTTCCCACCTCAAACATTTCTGCAAGAAAGCTCTGTGCTAACCTCTGGGAAATTCAGCCCCCCCAACAGACCCCACTTGCCACAATGAACAAAGCTGGCACCAGGCTCCGCCGCCGTCGCCGTCGCCGCCACATCAACCACCGTAAGGACACAGTTTCTGAGGTTCACAAACAATTGCCTGAGCCTCCAGACACCCCTTCTGACCAGGTTTTATATCGGTTCATGTTCTGTCTTCTATTCATTTTTTCTCTCAAAAAAAGAAAAAAAAAATTGTCCTTTCCCCATTAACCATTTGTTTTGCACTATCAAGCATTAACTGTTTGTTTCTCTGGAAACTCTTTTTTTTTCCCATAAATGATTTGCTTCTGTGCTAATTCAAACAAGATTTTGCCCCCTCAGGATCTGATTTGGGGGGTAGGGTGTCCCATTTGTTCCACTTGGTTCCATTACACACATATACATGCTTTAGACCTTTTTCTATAAATTATATTCCTTTCTATGCCTTACAAATGGACATTTCAATTTCAGTTTAAAAGTTGGTAATGGGTTTGGTTTGTGTATGTTAATTAAAGAAGTGGTTTAGATGTGCAAAAAAATTATAATTTCTCTTGGCCTATTGTAGCATTATGCAGTTGACCAACCCTTTTTTCCTTATCTAGAGGATTTTTAGTCATACTTTAACATGCTTTATTATCCATCAGTGCCCTTCTTTTCTTGCTGAAAGTCTGCTTCATTTTCCCCTTAATTGGTTTTCATTTTTCATCCTTGTTGGTTGTTTTCTTCACTTAACATTTTGTAGTCTAAAACTATTGCAAGTGTACTGTTGCTTAGATATGATTCTTTCTGTATACTCCCACATTCTTTAGAAGCTTGCTTCTCACTAGTGGCACCCAAGCACATTTTTTCATGCAATAATTGTTGTTCTAAGCCTTTTTCTCATGAAATATGAACCCATATTGTCTTATATGTGCAATTTCAAAGTGAAGCTAGGATAGGTTACAAACTAGCTATGAGACTCTGATGAAAAGAGGTAATTTATTGTCCATGTAATTGCATTCCTCTGTCGCTTTTATTTGGCTGGAATATAATTCATTGAATTTCTTTCACTGAGATCCTTTCCACACCTGTGATTGATGTTGTTCTCATGGGTTCTTAATATAACTCCATATATATTGCAATTAGTTTTGAAGTGCCTTTAGTTGCATAGTAATTCTTATCTATAGGATGGCTTGCATCACCGCAACTGAATAATTGAGAAAATAGAGATTTTTAAATACTAAATTCCCGAAGTTAAAATTTGTTGTCAGCATTGGGTTCTATTGTTGAATGGAGTAGTATCTGTAATTCTGTATAGTGTGTCTTTTTGTTTTTCTTTTTCATGATATTTTAATATATTTTCTTTTGAAGTGCTGACTGTTATCCCGTGCCTTATTGCAGTCAGCATCTCCTTGTAGCATGAGAAGGTATATTGCAGCACCCCTTGTTCAGCACCATAGAGCATTTGAAAGAAATGGCTGTGCTCTACAATCTGTATCCCCTGCTTCTTACAGTAGCTCAGTGGAAGTAAGCATATTTTTGTCCATTTGAATCTTGAGTTGTTCTGTGTCAATTTTCATTGTTCAAATGAATATTTAATTACTTTTCAGTGTATGATATGAGTTTGGTTGTTTTTTTATACTGTAAATATGAATTCTGAAATTATAAGGATACTGACTTTACACTTTAGGATTCTTCATTTTTGTTTTTCTATTTTCGTCATTGGTTTTTCCTTTGTAGGGAACATCATTTATTAATTCTTAGTAGGCTAGCTCGGTTGTAGGAAAATTATTTCTTATGATTATCATGTGCAACATTTTGCCTAAGAATAAATATGTATTGTGGAATCTATTAGTATCAAAACAGGAGACAGAAAAGTGATTAAATGTATTCTTGTTGCAGTTATATAGCCATTATTGTATTATGTACTAATTGAAGCAAATTTTGAATGATTGAAATGCTATTCATAATCCATCATTATAGGAAAAGTTCAAGAATTAGAGCAATTAGTTATAAATATTTTCCATTATCCGTTTTAACCCTTTAGGTCATCATGCAGTTGAACATGTATTGCTCAAATTTACAATCTTGATTTTTTAGCATTGTTCCAGCATTTGTTTAACTTGAAATTTAATGGGTTTAGATGATGGACTTCGACCAAGATAATCTTCAACAACAATCTCTGCTTAGTTTGAAAAGAAAGAGTAGATAAATAACTTAGTTGATGATTTCTTAGTTTTTGATTGAGGCATTGATGTTGATTTTTATGAACTCCATACCCAAATTAATAAGCCATGATGCATTTAATCTCTTCAAGGATCCTTCTGTGACAATTTTTATACATCTCTTAAAATCATTCTGTAGACCATAGAATTTTTAAAATGTTTTTTCATCCTTCATAGCTGGTCTAAAACAATGCACATGCTATTTGCTCAAAACAGGTGGCACCATATAAACATGCAGAAACTCCCACTAGTTCCTTAGACTTTAAAGATATGATTGGAGAATCACGTTACAGCCTTACAACATCCACTGAGTTACTCAAGGTACTAAACCGTATCTGGAGTCTTGAAGAACAGCATGCATCAAATATATCAGTAGTGAAAGCTTTAAAAATGGAACTAGATCACTCTCAGGCGCGGATGAAGGAGTTACTAAGAGAGAAGCAAATGAGCAGGCACGAAAAGGAGAACTTAATGAAGCAAATAACAGTGGACAAACTTGTTAGGAAGAACAAAGAACATGATAGAATTAAAGCTGCAGTTAAATCAATCAAGGAAGAGCTAGAAGGTGAGAGGAGGTTACGGAAGCATTCGGAAAGCTTGCATCGGAAGCTGGCTAGGGAGCTTTCTGAAGTAAAGTCTTCATTCTCTGGTTGTTTGAGAAATCTTGAAAGAGAGAGAAAAGCACGAATCCTTTTGGAGAATTTGTGTGATGAGTTTGCCAAAGGAATCAGAGATTATGAGCAAGAGGTACATTCACTTAGGCTGAATTCTGAGAAGGGAAAGGCTAAAGGGAATAATAGCATTGATAGGCTAATACTTCATATTTCAGAAGCTTGGCTTGATGAACGCATGCAAATGAAGCTAGCTCAATCAGGCAGTGATCTCATAGAGAGAAACTCAATTGTTGACAAGTTAGGTTTTGATATTGAAACATTTCTTCATGCAAAACGATCTGTTGATTTGAAAAAATATGGTTACTCCTCTCCAAAGGAGCTCAAGGAAATTTACCCTTGTCAGCATTCATTGGATTCCTTTCCTCTAAAAGAGGCTACAAGTGCACCTCAGAATATGGCTCAGGAAGATTCCATTGACACTGAATTTTTTGAACCAAAAAGTGCTTCTGGTGAAGAACTTCACAAACTCAGCTCCAGACCACAAAGCATTGACACTACTATGGTTCATCAAGACAAGACAGGTAGCCAAAATTCAATGAGGAAACAGGTTCTGTTAGATGAAATCACTGAGGTTATAGATAATGATAGTCCCATAAAACTGTGGAAAACAAAGTTGGCTGTTTTAGATTTTGACAAGTCTGGGTCTTCTACCATATTGCCTAAGGGAGTAAAGGAACACACATTGATGGCAAAACTGCTTGAAGCAAGATTAGAGGAACAGAAATTTCGTTCAAGAGCTAGCAAAAGCACTTCTTGATCAACTAGATAAAGTTTCTAATGGAAAATTTGGGATGTGAAATAGTTGCAATGGGTATTGTACTGGGATCTTTCATCAAATTCTAGTAACTATGTTGTACACAAGAATCTTTTTAGTCATTGACATGGTTAGATGAATGAAGATCAAAGTTGTATCCAATATCTGTAAAATGATGTTGTTCAATGTTCACTATTGCACTATGCCTATCAGGCTATGGGAAACACCTCTGGTATGTGTCTTGTACTGTCCCCAAAACCAATTCCCCCCCCCCCCCCCCCCTCCCCCTCCCCTAAGTATTACATGAGTTTATTTATAAATAATATTTGTAGCTATTATCCAAATTAACTATTAAATTAAGCTTAGACAATGTGTTAACCATCCAAATTAATTCATTAGTAGTGTTAAGTTAATGGAAGTATAATTTTTTCCTTTTTTTAAAAAATAATGTGTCAATTTGATAAATTGAAATTTTTTATATTGTAAAAAAGCTAGTGTTACTAAATACATTTCTAGGTAATTATATATAACAAGGTTTTATTTCACAATGCATTTGATTTGTTTATAATTTTTAGCATCGTTATATTAATAGTAGCTTTTCAACTTTGATAAATAGGTAACCATAAATATTTTCTACTACTAGTTTGATTACCTTATATCACTCAAATTTATGTCTTGGATACTGGTTGCTGGAACATTGATCAATTTTCTCTTAGCTTCCTTCTGATTTGGTTTTGCACATCCGTAGTGCGATATCACATTCGGATTTGGAGCCTCCTGATCATAAATAGTAGAGTTTGGGTACTAGAGATCTAATTTTGGTTCGGGTGCTATATACTCTGATTAAAGGTACTTATGATTTGGAGCAGATAGTTTGGGAGGAGTGGTGTTGGTCCAAGATTTGGGAGTGAAATGACCCTCACCGTTTAAAGCTTCTTTTATGGAAGATTGCTCACGGTAAATTACCTATTAGATTCTGGGTTGCTTCTTGGTCTCATGGGGACATCTCTTGTCATGTTTGTAGGCAAGAGGATGAGAAAATTCTTCATGCTTTACGCAATTGTTTGGTAATTCGTGAATTATGGTGCACTTTTATTCCTCTAGCTATTCATGAAGAATTTTTTAAAGGTAATTTGTATTACTGGTTGTGAGAATTTTGATTTCTAGGAAAGCTAGACATTCGTAATTGGTCCTTCTTTTTTGTTAATTTCCTATATTAGATTTGATATTGGTAGAATCAAGTTGCTCACTCTCGTATGGTGGCTACTCCATTACCTAATTCCATTGCTTTTATTTAGCGTCAATTTGAGGACATGATGGGTATTTTTACTTCGGATATTCCTGATATGGTTGATATTTTAGTCCTTTGGAAGTTTCCAACATTTGGTTTTATTAAGCTTACTACGGATGGTGTTGCAAGAGGCTCCCCTGGTGCAGCTACTTCAGCTGCTTGTGGAGGGTTTGTTCGTAACCCTCATGGATCTTGGCTCATCGGGTTCTTCTCATATTGGCATCTGCAACACACTTAATATAACTTGGCAGAGAAGTTAGCGTTGTCTAATTCTTGAAAGCGATTTCACTTCAATGATCACTTTATTCACCAGATATGATGGTGCAGCTCGTGGGTCTCGTTTGGTGACTCGGATAAGAGCACTCCTTGACCGTGACTGGCAGATTTTGGTTGTACATGCATTTAAAGAGCTTGACTTTTAGCTAATCTTCTCCTTAATAATTCTGGATTACCAGATGATGTTGTCTTCGACGAGCCTCCTAGTTGCTGAAGCTTCTTCTCTACGCGGACGTGACAGACATTTCTCATCCTCAGAGAAGAAAGGGCTTGACTTTTTCTTTTTATGTCTTTATTTCTGTCTTTTTCTGCTGTTTTTCTTCTTGTATAAAAATAAAAATAAAATTATTCCATCATATACATTTTTTATTAACTTGCTATGTTCTATATAGTTATAAAAACTTTGACTCACCTTGTGCTAATATTGTTCGTATAAATAAAATTTTATTATGCTATGAATAAAACATACAAAAATTAAATTAAATAAATATTATTCAAATATATTTTTATTAGAATGTGTAAGAATAAAACTAAAAGATAACAAAAGTTATAAATAAGTAAAAAAAAAATTGTACTTAATGGATATTATATTAATGTATATATTTTTTGTTTATCTATATATGATCAATATATATATGATAAAATATGAATTTTTTTTTATAAATTTATTAAAAATTAATGCACTTTTGATTTCTATTTATTTGAAAAATAACTATAGAAAAATAAAAAATAATAATTTAAAAGTGTTCTAGATAATATATCCCGCTAGTGCCCATTGAGCCTAAGACCTAATAATTAAGAGAAAAACCCAAACCCCTTTGGAGAATCAACTGCCACCATATATAAGGGGTCCTCACTCCTCACCCCCATTCACCAAACACAAACTATCAGGTAAATATTCTATCTCGTATGTCATAGTTTGCCTTACAGGTGTGCACCCCCATTTTCCCACCGATGCACACGGAGGAGTGCGTTGCCGTCATTGTCAAGATTCGAGAAAATTCGTATGAAAAAAATAAATGAAGTAATAAATTAAAATAATTTTTAAAAAAAAAAATTAGATAATAAAAAATCCCTAGCTCGTGGTAATTATAGTGAACTTTTATATTATATATAAATAGATAGATATGGCACAATTTTCAATTACGTAAGTAAAGTAGATATATTAGAAGTAAACTAATGATCCTGCATTTTATGGGTTATTTAAAAATATATTTATAATTATGCTCTTTACTTAATGAATAAGTATTTAAATTAAAATATTTTTAAAAAATATATAGTCAAAAAATACTTTAAAAATAATATTTGGTAAAAATGCTCAACATATTTACAATGTGATAAAGTATAATAGAGAAACTAGTATTTAAAAATTAGTAATATATCATTCATTTTTATTTTATTTGCTCACAATAATATTTAAATGAACTTTCTAACATTATACACATGATTTAAATAAAATTTTTTATTTTATTCTATTTTTATTTTGGAAAATAAAAAATTTATAATTATCCCTCTTTATTTCTTTATTTTACAAAAAAAAATTCTAACTATATTTAAATATATTTTAAAAATAATTTTTAAAGACATTATATGCGAAATATTTATATACTATGGTATAGTATGTATTTATAACAAATTTGGTGGACATTATGTTAATATTATTGGTACAAATACATATAAATATATAACCAATAATATATATACATAAATAAAATAAAATAATATTATTACTTAACTATTTTTCTTTTTAAGGGAAGACCCACCACAGAGGTGTGTGTTAGGACTTAGGAAGCCCATAGAAAATTATAAAAGAGAGTGAGAGGGGAAGATTACCAAGTTGATATCGGTCAAAATTTAATGTATATTTATTACTTAACTATTTTTATATTTATTGTATATTCTTATATTATTAATTTATTATTTTAACCAAGTTGATATCGGTCAAAATTTAATGTATATTTGGAAACTCTTATTTTTAATTTTTTTATATGCAGAAGATTACCAAATATAATTTTACAAAAAAAATTTGATCATAAAAATAGCTTTTTTTATGATGAAGAAAAAATATTAAAAATTCTTAGGATGAGCATTTTTTAATATATATATATTAATTTTTTGGAATTCTCATATTTATTTTTTAATTTTAATTTTATTCTAAATGTATATTAATAAATTTTATTATTTACCGTAATAATTTATTCTAATAATAAATTATTTCATTTTCCTCCCTTCAAAATTCTAAGAACAACTTTATATAATTATAAAATAGATTTTAGCTTTATTTTTTTTACATTTTTTTAACTTTAACTTAAAAATAGCTCTTAGCTTTAACAAAAACAAATGTGCCAAACAAACTCTTAATAATATTACATTTTATCATTGCATGTTTTCCAGCTCTATCAAGAAATTTATCTCGTGAAATTTTATTTAAATATCCTTTTCATTAGAGGTTAAAAGATTGAGATTAAAACAAAACAAAAATTATAAATATTTAATAAAATAGCATTTTTTAGACAATTTATTAACATATATTTTATAATAAAGTATATCTTTTTTGGTCTACCAAAAAAAAAAACCTTTTTTGAGTTAATAAAAAAATGAATACACTTTAATTGTTATTTAAAAAATAAAAGGTCAGAAAAGACAAAAAGTTAAAAAGATATAAATGGAAAAAATGAAAAGTTAAGAACTAAAATCAAGTTGAAGTTAGATAATAGAAATTTTAAATTTTAAAAAATTAACTCGTGATTACGGTCTTTTGACCCTTTTACCTTTTATTAATTAATTAATAATCATTTTGCTCCTTATTCGAAACTATCTACCAATCTTCCATTCTTTAATCGATTAACTTGAAGATTTAATCAATTAAGTGGTTAAAACTGGCAAAAATAGTTGACTTGAAGATTTAATCGATTAAATCTTCAAGTTAATTGATTAAATCTCCCTCTTAATTGATTTAATCGATTAAAACTTATATTTAAATTGATGACAATCTGTAACCAACTCGTAAAATGACAACTCCTAATAAAACGCAATAAGCTCATATTAAATACAAAACGCAATCAATCAATGCTTTCACGCTCATTTGCTATATTTACTCATTTCATTGAAATGTTGCCCATAAATAGGCTCAGAATTACAAATTACAAATAAATTTGAATTGGTGACAATCTATAACCAACTCGTAAAATGGCAACTCCTAATAAAACGCAATCAGCTCCAATTAAATACAAAACACATTCAACTCCTATTAAATACAAAACGCAATCAGCTCCTATTAAATACAAAACGCAATCAATCAATGCTTTCACACTCATTTGGTATATTTACTCATTTCATTGAAATGTTGTCCATAAATAGGCTCAGAATTACAAATTACAAATAAATTTGAATTGGTGACAATCTATAACCAACTCGTAAAATGACAACTCCTAATAAAACGCAAACAGCTCCTATTAAATACAAAACTCATTCAACTCCTATTAAATATAAAACCCAATCAGCTCCTATTAAATACAAAACGCAATCAATCAATGCTTTCACGCTCATTTGGTATATTTAATCGATTAAATATAAGTTTTAATCGATTAAATCAATTAAGAGGGAGATTTAATTGATTAAGAGGGATATTTAATCGATTAAATCTTCAAGTCAACCATTTTTGTCAGTTTTGACTATTTAATCGAT